AGAGGGACAAGCTCCTCACAGGCTGAACAAGGCATCCAGGTGGGGAAGTTCTTGGAAGGTTCAGGGTTGGAAAGCTGTCTCCTTCCTTCCCTCAGCAGGGGCTCACAGTCACAAAGACCCCCAGGGAGAACCAGCAGAGCTCAAGATGACTGCCATCATCATCTTCTTCATCATCACTCACATTTCTATAGCACTTTAAGGTTGACAAACCACTTTTCTCACAAAAGTCCTGGAAGGTAGATAGTATAAGTTATTATATTACTCTTCCTTCTAAGACGATGAGGAAAGTAAAGTTTAGTGTAATGAAATAACCAACCAATGACCAAATATTTTAGAACTGGGATTCAAAACTGGGGCTTCTGCCCCAGAACTCAGTATGTGCTACGAGTGGTTGGAGAAAAGGATTGAGGCTCTAATGCCATCCTCGTTAGCCAAACAGGTCACAGGGAGCCCCAAAATAGGGTTTGGGACAACAATGAGAGAAACTGTGTGTATCCAGCCTCAAACATGGCTTCCCTTGTTCCTGGTTTTTCACCACTGGCTTAGGGTTCTTTTGGGGCTGGGGGTATGGAGAGCTCTTTCAGGCTTTTGGATCCAGCTCATGCCCCACTATGGTCACATGGAATAAACTGTTGGGCCTTTTTACTGCTAATCGTCCATTTCCTATGGGACCCACTGAAGTGAGCTGGCAACAGGCAAATCAAACACCTCAAGTGAAACCAGTCCTCATTTATCAGCATGTGTCATTCCACTTCCTCCAGCCTGGTCCTTTCACTGCCTCCACAGATCACGCTCACTCTTTCCTCTGTGACTTCATGCAAACCACGACCCTTAATAAGAATGCCCTCTGCTTTTTCCTGGAGTCTTTCCAAATCTTGCCCTTCCTCCAAAGCCCAGTGCAAGCCCTCTGTTCTCCAAGAAGCATTGTCCAACCTACACTTAGAGTCTAAACCAGTGACCGGGCAAATGACTGCTGAAGACCAAATCTGGCCCAAGCCAAGAAGGCGTTTCACAGTTTTAAATACAATGCATTTTTATTTTAAAATGTAAACGAGATTCTCAGATTATGAGGCAGGAGGGATTGGGGAGGGGGTGAGGCGCTTAGTTGGCTGACCCTGACCCTTTTCCACATTGGCATGGATGTCTCCTGCGCATCTCAAAGCCGACATGTCCAAAAGCGAGTTCATTACCTTCCCACATACACAGCCCTAAAACTCACACGTGTTCTCAACTCCCTTATTTCTGCCAAGGGGAACATCACCTGCTTCCAATCAGCCCTGGAGTCATCTTCAACTCTGCACCCTCAGTGTGTTTATACAGCCAGTTCATTTCTATCTCCACAATATCTGAGAGAGAGACAAAGACAGACTGACAGATATAGACAGAGGCGATACAGATAGGAATACTTATAGCTATAGATATACACATATATCTAAGATAAGACAAACAGATCTGTCTATCTGTCCATCCACCCCCTTTCTCTGCACTCGCACAGTCATCACAGTAGCTCAGGTGTTCATCATCTCCAGTCTGGACTATTGCAGTGACGTTACAACTGGTTTCCTTGCTTCAGATGTTTCTCCATTCCTATCAATACTTCACACAACTATCACAGTAATTTCCTAATGTGTAGATTTGACCATGGCACCCTTCTACTCAATAAACTCCAGTGACTCCCTATTACCCCCAGGATCAAATATCAACTCCCATCAAAGCCCTTCACAACTTAGCCCCTTCCTACCCTTCCAAATCACAGTGTGACTTACATCCTCTATGCACTCTGTGGTTCAGCCATACTAACCTATCTGCTGTCCCTTGCACAAAACACTTTATCTCCTATTTTCATGCCTTTGTATGACTTGCATCTCAAGATTCTGCATACCAGGGGTATTTCTAGTCTGGGCTTATGAGTCCCAAAGAGGCAGTTAGTTGAGAGGGCATCCCAAAGATCTGACCTTCATTATCAAGAGGCTGAAGACCTCAAGAAACCTAATCAGCCATTGAATGTCAGTCTCACTAGGTACCTCCACCATCCTAAGTCGAGTAATAGGTTTGTGTTCCGGTTTCAAGGGTGGTTGGTGGTTCTACATGTGTTGGGAGGGTCAAAGGAAGCATGAAATATTCTACCTCTCAGCTAAAATTTTTCCCCATTAGCAGGAGTTTGAGGTCCTTAAGCCCATCGTAGCATCAAATACCAGGCTTACTGTGTGCCTCCTCCATCCTAGGCTGATGTCCCTGGAACGCCTGGAATACTCTCCTTCCTTACTTCTATCTCTTATAATCTCTGGCTTTGTTCAAGTCTCAGCTTAAAAGTCACTTTCTGCAGGAAGTCTTTCTCAGTCCTCTGGCTGTAAATGATGTTACTCTCTGCAGTTACTTTGTATGTCTTCTGTTTATATCTTGCATATTCCTCTTTATCTATACATTGTCTCCCCACTAGAATGTAAGCTCCTTGAAGGCAGGTACTGTTTTCACTTTTTGTTTATATCTCTGATGCCTGGCACATGGTAAGTACACAGCAAATTACTGTTAATTGAGGAGTCTCCCGACCTTCAAAGATCCATAGTTATGATTCAGACACAAATAACCATAATACAAAGTGTAGTGTGATTTAATTTTTAAAAAAAACAACTTAGGACAATAATTCCCCCAACACAGTATAACACCGAAGAAAGAGTGCTGGATTTAGAATCAAAGTACCTGGGTTCAAAAGCTAACTCTGCTACTGACCTCCTGTGTCACTTTGGGCACTTGATTTAACCTCTCTGGGCCTAAGCCTTCTCTTCTACAAAAGGATAGGGTACAATTAGATGATGTCTAGGGTCCTTCTAGCTTCCAATCTGTGATCCTATGATCTTAAGATATGCTCCCAAATGTCAGGGAAGCTTTGAAGAGGAAGACAGCTCTTCCAGGTAGGAGGATTCCTCAGGAAGAGACCCTCAGAGAGCTTAGAACCCCTAGGAAAATCTTTAGCTGAGAAGTAGAATACATGATACTTCACTGCCCATCCCAGAAAGTGTACAATCACCAGCCACCCAAGAAGCCTGAGCACAAATCTCATCACTTGACCTAGGATGGGAAGGTACACTGTGGGATGTGCATTCCATGTTATGCTGGGCTTCTTGAGAAACCTAACCTCTGCTAATGGAGATAAAATCCTTGGGGTTCCCTCCTAACTAGCTACCTCCCTGGGAGTCATTAGCAGGCTAGACATACCCCTGGCATGCAGAATCTTCATATACAAGTCATTTCATAACCCTAGGTATCACACCACCTGTCAGAGCTACCTACGCACTAAGAAATTCTATAGATAAGAAGAATCCAGGGTGAACATTTTGCCAAACTCTGGCCCTTCTTTAAAGAAAAAATAGGGCATGGCAGGCCTGAGCTAATACAGTGATGGTACCCTCTGCAGTGACGCTGACAGCCAAGGAGTCTGTGTTAAGAGAAAGGAGACGTGACTCAGGAGCAGACAAGGTTCACTAAGTCGTTGCTTTCTAACCATAACCACGCTCACAACCAGAGCAGACCTTAAAAGGAAGCCGATCAGCAGCAGATGTCCCAGACTGAGGTTTTGGGTTTTTTCAAAGGGCCTCAGAACAATCAAGGTTGAAGAGAGACATCTGTATCAAGTAAAAACAAAACTCTGAAAAAGAGAGGGGAAAACCAACCACCCCAATAATACCTATAGCAATGAAATACCACCTGGGAGTCAAAGGTAGATGACTCCACAAATCTAAAATCAGCAGCTGACGGTAGGAGAGCCTGAGGCTGGGCCTCGATGCTGGAGGCTTTGGTTCTAGCTGAAAAACTCAGAATACACAGAAGACTTTCAGCCAAGGAAAAAAATTTAGAGGGATATGAGGAGGCTTGGGCTCTGTTTCTGACTCTGCTACCAGCCTGCTGTATAACTGTGGGGAAGTCACTTCCTCTTTCTGGGATTCTTTTCCCATCTATAAAACAAGAGAATTGGACTAGACCGTTGCTAAGGCCCCTTCCAACATTGCAGTTCTATGATTCTATGATTAATGATTCCTATCTGAAGGCTAAAGGAGCACGATTACTTCATGTGTCTCTAGAAAAGGGGTTTTTAACCTGGAGTCTGGGATTTTCTTTCAATATAACTGGTTTCCTTTGCATTTTATTTTATACATTTAAAAATATTATTCTGGGAAGGAGGTCATGGGCTTCACCAATCTGTCAAAGGGATGTACGACATGATAAAAGATTAAGAGCCTCTGCTAGAAATTGGAAGGACTACCAGTTGGAAGCTACAGGGATGCTGCTCACCACCCAATATAAAGCTGAACACTCTAGAAGGGCTATTCAATGATGGAATGAATCTCCTTTAGTAGAGAAGGAATGTCCTATAACTGGAAGCCCCCATCTATGAAGAATACTACAGAAGAGATTCCAGCCCTAGGTGAAAGGTATGAAGTGATGACTTCCAAGGCTCCTTCCCCCTCTAAGCTTCTGTAATTAAAGGGGAAACAGAAGATAGAAGAGAGGAAATATGGAAAAATCAATGCTATGTGAAGTCTACAGCAAAAGCGCTTTTCCACTTAACCTCCTCTTCCATTCTCATCAAAATCTGAATACTAGTAAGATTTTGAGCTCCTTAGGCACTACTAGGATTTGAACTCAGGTTCTCCTGTTTGCCACACAGGTTATTTAATCAGCTAAGCAATGGCATCACCCCAGGAAGGATTTCAAACACTTGATTCGGAGTGGTTTCTGTGCCCTGGAGATGTTGAGGTATGACAAAGAGTCCCAAAGCCAAAAGGTAACAAGGAAGAAGCCAGAATTCTGGATGATCCACAAATTAGATAAGCAGGTCTTAAAAAATTGAGAGCTGCTCTCCTTTGTGTGATCCCTTCCTAAGAAATTTCCAACAGTTCTAACTGGGTCACAGAGGCAAATGATGAAGGCCACTTCTCCCTTAGTTAATCTAATTAACAGAGTGTGGAGTATTGGCTCAGAAACAGCTTCCCTCATCTTACCTTCTCGCTTCATGCCCATGGCAAGACACTTCTGGTAGCGGCAGTATTGGCACCGGTTCCGCTGGCGTTTGTCAATCAGGCAGTCTTTATTGTCTCGGCAGGTATAGGTGAGGTCCTTGCGGACTGTCCTCTTGAAGAAGCCTTTACAGCCTTCACAACTGTACACACCGTAATGTTTACCTGAAATGGAAGGGCAGAGATGCTACTCAACTCAATGAACGTTTATTAAATGTTCACTATGCACACAACCCTTTCCTCAGTAATGCGGATATGAACCTGGAAAAAAAAAACCAACCCCCGCCCTCAGGTGCTTACAGTCTACTAGAGGAGATGTAACCTATTTGTAGAAAGCATAATACAAGGTGGAAAACATAACTGGAAGATATGAGGATGTAGGGAGTTGGACAAGATTTGACTTAGATAATACCCTAAAGGACTGTTATATGGATGCAAAGAACACTTTTAATTGGCTGGCGGAGTGTTGGTCAGAGAAGGTTTCACAGCAACGGTGGCACCTGGCCTTGACTTGGAAAGGAAAGGAAGGATCTGAACATGTGCTAATGAGACTATGTTTCAATCACCAGAGATGTTCTGTGAGAATTCATGAGGTCAGAGAGGACTTGGGATAGGAATGAAACAGGGAAAACAGCTAGTAACACACTGGCTCTGTTGTTATCTAATTGTTTCAGCCATGTCTGTCTCTAAATCTTCATGCCCTCATTTGGGATTTTCTTGGCAAAGATACTGGAGTGGTCTGCCATTGCCTTCTCCGGCTCATTTTACAGATGAGGAAACTGAGGCAAATAGGGTTAAGTAACTTGTCCACGGTCACACAGTTAGTAGGTGTCTGAAGCAGATTTGAACTCAGGAAGATGAATCGTCCTGAGTCCAGGCCTGGTGCTCTATCCACTGCACCAACTGACTGCCAACACAGTCTGGCTAAAGAACGAGTAAAGGGGAGGGACGTGAAATAAGCCTGGAAAGGTAGGGTGAAGCCAAATTGAAAAATTACTTAAATTTCAAGCTAAAAAGTTTATGTCTTAGCCCTTATGTTACAATGAACCGCTAGAAGTCTTAGAATATCAAAGTAATATCATGTATTCTGATTATTTTGCCTGCTGGTGAAGGGATACACCAGAGGCTAGGGAACTAGTTAGGAGACTACTATCATAGTCCAGGTAAGACGTTACATAGACCTGGACTATAGTGGACAGGAGGGAAAAGATGCACGAATTGTCATGCCACTAGAATCCATAGGACTTAGCAACTGACTGAATGTGAGGGGGAGGCTGGAGAGGAAGTGGGAAGAGCCAAAGACGCCGCCAACGCCTCCAACTTCTGAGTTTTGAGGAACAAGAATCACTCCCAATCTCCTTTAGATACACATAACAGCAAGAACGTCAGAGCTCAACAGGACCTTAAAGGTTGTCTGCTAACCCCCTAATTTTCCAAAGGGAAAACTAGGGCCCAGAAAAGGGAAGACACTTGCTTAATATCATACTGTGAATTGGTTTGAATCCAGGTCTCCATCTAGGGCTCTTTCTATCAAACCACACTATTACATCAGTTAGCAGGGGGAATTCCTATAGAAAGTCTTTTCTGCTGCCGCTCCTCTGCCTTTCTGACACCAAAATGTCATTCAAGGCCCTGCAAAGTCTGACCCTAATCTATCCATCCAACTACATCTGGAGAGGCAGCACAGAATAGTAGTTAAGAGTTCTGGACATGGGAGTCTGGAAGGCCTGAATACAAAACCTTCCTCTGTGACCTCTATTAACTCAGTGGTCCTGAAAAGGTCCATTAACTCTGGGGTCCTGTAATTTAAGTCACCGAACATTCTCTGAGCCTCAGTATCCTCATCTGTAAAAAGAGGGGGCTAGACTAGATGAACTAGTCCCTTCAGGCTCATCTATGATTCTGTGATTCTCTCTCCTGCCCAAACGAAATGTCTACCCTAGCTAACCTAGTCTCTTCACTGGCTATCTACCGGCCTCAACATGCCACAAGCTCTTCTGGAATTGCCACTTCTCTGTTTATCTACATCCTCACCCACTGTGGAATAAAATCAAGGCTTTAAGAAATACTGTGTATGTGCACATATATACCTGAAGGGGAGGGTGGATAGGGAGAGAGGGAAAGAAGAAGAAAGAGGGAGAAGGGGGGGGTGAGAGAGAGAGAGAGAGAGAGAGAGAGAGAGAGAGAGAGAGAGAGAGAGAGAGAGAGAGAGAGAGAGAGAGAGAGAGAGAGAGAGAGAGAGAGAAGGGGGGAGAGAGAGGAGAGAAAGTTCTATGTTGGTGGCAGTTCTGCGGATGGTCACATGATGTGGTATCAGAGGTTGTCAGAATTATAGATGCATCTGTTTTTGTTTCAATGCAAGTGTGAGGATATAGTATAGCGTACTGGAGACAGCTAGAGATGGGTATAGGGGATATGTAAGAGAATATATGAACATAGATGAAGAATGTCCGTGTGTACACATGTACATTAGCGAGTATGTACAAATATGCGTCTGTATGTGTATAAGGCCTAGTGAAAGGACTTCAAAAGAGGGGAATTAGCCAAATGAAACTGCCTGAGGCTAGGGCTGCCTGATAAATGGTATCATCATCACCTCCAATTCCCCTCCTGAGCGCCAGTGCCTCATTCATGATGAGATTCTGGGTTTTACAGCTTAGCTGGCCCAGAGAGTTATCAATCTCTGGATGCAAAGGGGGAGGGGAGGGAAGAAAAGGGGGAGATGCCTGGAGGCCATGTCATCAAGCAGTCCACTCAAGTTGGGGAGGGCCAGGGTCTCCTCTCCTGGGGAGGAAGGGTCTCCTTAGGTCACTGTCTCTATGGCAACACCAGACCAAGTCAGAGACAGCCTCTAAAAGGCACCCTCAGGCTTCTTAGAGACTCATGACAAGGATGCAGGAAAAAGAGTAATAAACAAGGGGAGACACCTAGGGCCAGGTTCAGGCCCAGAATGAGGTCTGAAATGCCTTTAACAGGGAACAAAGCCTTATAATCCACAATGAGGAACCAGAAAGCAAAGAACCCTCTACTGGGAGTCAGGAGACCGGGATTCTATTCCCAGCTCTTCTACTGACTGCTCATGTCAGTTCGCCAGGCCTCAGTTTCTCCATCGGTTAAATAAAGGAGACTAAACAGTCACTTCAAGCTTCGACATTCTATGTTCTAAAGTCTAAAGAGTGTGTTCTCACACCTTCTGAAGCTCCCCCATGATAGGGAATGATGAAAGACGCCCCTGAGGTCCTGCAGTTTCCTCAGCTATCAAAGCTTCAATGACAAGCAACAGCTTCCAGCACCATGGGAAAGTCACTGTACTAGAGGCAGATGACACATCCTCGTAGGGGAATGTGCCTCTTTCATAAGGCAGGCAAGTTAATTCTGGCGCTTTAAAAAGACTGTTAACAAAGCTTAGAAACAGTAAGACTTGGGGCTGAAACAGGCAAAATGTGCTTTCTTAGGAAAAGCACTGGGTTTGGGGGTCACAGGACCTGGGTTTGAATCTCTACTCTGCTATTTACCAAATGGCCCTGGTTGGGCAAGGCACTCCATCTCTCTGAGCCTCTGTATCTTCATCTTTAAAATAAGATTTACACAAACTAGCAAGAGAGCTTTGAAAGTAACATGCTGACTTACATACTTTAACATATTAGAGATTCATGATTTTACATATAATCCTTTTTTTCTATTCTACATTGTCCATGGAAATATTCCCTTTCAGGCAGAGGCGGGGGAGAGGGTTTAAATTCAGAATAAAATAAAGAGTATTAGAATGTGTGGTTTCTAAAGTGCCTTCCCATCTCTAAATCCTGTCACTCTGTACACTTTCTATTATGCAGAAAACAATATTTACCAGAGGAGTCTATTCCCCAAACATCCTGGTTTCTCCAGGTTTCACTACATTTTGGTAATATCTGTACCAAAGGCAAGGAAGGAACTGTTGAGCTGATGGGAAGATCCAAAGGACATCTATGCAGTCAGAGTTGGAAAGGAAATGTGAGTTTAAGGAGTAGGCTGAATGAAGCTCAAGAGGGAGAGCAATTTTTAACTTCTGGCTCTGCTGTAAGCTTCTGACTGACTGCAAGCTCCAATTCTAGTCTCTCCTAGAGTGCTCTGCACAGACATTAATCAATGATTTTGGAATTTAATTGAGTGTCCCTATGCTGGCTTTCTTGCCCACGCCCATACTGGGGGGTCTCCCTCCATGTGCAGAATAGCTCTCGTCCGGCAGATTTTACCTGAGGAGCGGTCCCCACAGATGGCACATATGTGCTTGGTGAAGGAGGCCATAGTTCCTGAGGGATGGGCGGGCACTTTAAGAACTCCATTGAGCCCAAGGGGTGGCTTAATATCTTCTGTGCTGCTGACAGGGTTCATTGGCGAATTGAGCTGGGGAGGGAAAAACAGAGGGTAATGTTAAGATGATGCCTCATGAAAGAGAGAACAAATTCTGCCATCCCCATTTCCTACAGTGCTATCTCTACATAAACCATCAGCTGTCTACAATAGCTGCTATTTCTTTAGTGCTTTCAGTTTTACAGAATAAAACCTCACAACACATCCATGAGATAAACAGCACAAATACTGCTGACTCCGTTGCGTGGAGGAGGGAACTGAGCCCAGGATGACAGGATTTAGCACTTCAAGGGACCCTAGATGCCTTCTCCAGTCCAGTTCCTTCATTTAACAGAGAAGGAAACTAAGGACCATAGAAATTAAATGCCTCAGTCAAGGTCAGATGCGCATTAACTAGCAAAGCCAGGATTTGAACCAAGGTCTTATTCCAAATCTAGCATTTTTTTCCACTGTACCAGAAGCTCTGATTAAGTACCTGGTATATGCAGAACACTTTGCTCTAGGCTCTGAGTGACAGGAAGTATAGATATGACATTGTCTCTACTCTCACGAAGCTGCCCCTTACACCAAGCTGCCCCACACAAGTCTGGCCTCTGTATTAAAGTCTATAGAAGGATCTTAGATGTCAGTATTCTGTTTTCTCTTTCCTGGAGGGGATATACTGGAGCCTTAATTCAGCTCAGCCCTGTCCTTCTCTTCCTTTCAAGTCATTCTCCTGGAGAGGCCTTTTCAGGATACAGGGCCTAGAACAGCATCGAATTGATTAATGTCCAGGTCACAGGATATGATAAGTTTACTACCCAGTGGGAAAGGATAGAGGGTGGGCAAGGGGGCAGGGAAGGGAACAGAAGGATGGGGAGTGGGTTCTAGATTCAAAGATGCAGACTAACTACTTTGTCCAGTCCTCCTGCTACACTTCAATTCTCGAACCACCATCTTCCACCCACCCTCTAGGCAGAACAGGACCTGAAACCTGGCCAGGAAGGGAAGCGTGGGAAATTCACTCTGTTACCGTAGCAATGCTGGAATGACAGGGCACTTTTGATTCCACTTAACCATCCTGGCACCCCCTATCTGATACAGCCTCCGCCTCTCAGGGCTCTCAGCATATCAGCATAACAACTTCCCCACCCCACCCCCCCAACAATCTCCAGCTTGGCTCTTACCCTCTACTTCCCCATCCTGTCTCCACTAACATTTCTGCTGAGCCTCATCCCATTCTGAAGTTCCCCCTCAGAGGGCTGGCCCCCTTCCCACCAGACACCAGGGAACTTGCAAGAGACAAATATTTGTTTTCTTCTCTAAAATGCTCCTCTGTTCCACACCCCTTGAGGAAAGGAGAAACTCTCCAACACTTGTAAATGCCAGGGAAGTAACAGATCTTGTCTGCTGTGTACCTCAGTAGCCTCAGAAAACCTGACTTCTCAATCTGGGAAATCCATTTGCCTTCCCCAACAAAAGTAATGCCCCCTTCCTCCTTTCTGATATAACAGGAAGAGAACTGGTTCTGGGGAAAGAAAAAAAACTCAGTTCCTAATATTGACCACTAGCCCTGAAGAAAATACATTCTCCTTTATGCTCTGGAAGAGAAAATGGTTTCTAATTATCCATTCCAAAGACATGTACTGCATAACTGGGGCCACTCTTAGAGCTCCACAAAAAAAGAGTTGGGCTACCTAGGGAGATAGGTGTTCACTGCTGGAGATGTTCAAAAAGAGGTTAGCTTCCTGCTTGTCAGGGATGTTAAAGAGGGGGTTCACATCTCTGGAAGGAGACTGGATTAAAAGAACTCCAAGATCATAGACCAATTTTGAGGATTCATGACTCCAAGATTCTGCTACAAGTTACTGAGTACCTCTGGGCCTCAGTTTCCTTTTGATGGAATGAGGAACCCATAGCTGTCCCTAGTCCCTACAAGGCTGTTTTGAGGTTAAACTCTCCTAGAAAGTTGGCCTGGGTTAAATAGAAAGAAGCCTGCCTGCACTACTGTCTGTTATAAGGGGAAAGGTATATTACACAAAATGATATGACCTGGGGTCCTTAATGAAGTTATTGTCTATTCTATGCCTAGAGATGGCTCTATTGCTTATTAGCTATGTCACCTGGAACAAGACATTTCAATAATCCAAGTCTCAGTTTATTCATCTGCAGAATGAGGATAATACTTGTAATACCTGCCTCCCAGTTTCTAGCCCAACACTGGGTATACAATAGATGAATAATATGTACTTGGTGGCTTGAAGGAAATCAAGGGAGCTCATAAAGCCTCCTCCTTTTAACGCACATGTTAATTCATCATGTCATTTGCCTGCTCAAAAAACTTTAATGATTCCCAAATGCCTCTAAAACAACATATATGTTTCTTTTTTTAACCTTTTTTTTTTTAGGCAATTGGGATTAAGTGACTTGCCCAGGGTCACACAGCTAGTAAATGTCAAGTGTTTGGTCTGAGGCTGGATTTGAACTCAGGTTCTCCTGACTTCAGGACTACTGCTCTATCCACTGCACCACCTAGCTGCCCACAACACATACATTTATTAACTTGCCATTCAATACCCTTCTCCACTGGGCTCAAATCACTGGCCTTGGGTTCAAATTCGGACTCTGCCTCTTCTACTTATGTGACTTTGGACAAGTCACTTAACTCTCAGGTGTCAGACTGGATGGCCTCGAAATTAACTTCCAGCTCTAAATCGATGTTCCTATGAACCTTACCTCTTCAGTCTTATTTCACAATATCCTCCTTCACAGGCTATATTCCAGCCAAATTACTCGAGTAACTGTTCTGCAATCCTGTTCTGCCATCTAACATCTCTTTGTTTCCCCCCTGAGCCTAAAATATAGTCCTTCCTCACCTCCACCTGTTGAAATCCTTCCTTTCCTCAAAGGCATCACCCTTTTTAGGGGCTACCTCCTACCTCAGTAGTTCTCAAAGAGTGATCTTTGAACCCTTGGTGATACCCATGACTTTGTCATGGGCTCTGCGAAATCAATACTACTTTTGTGATAATACTAAGACATTATTTTCCTATTCAGATACCAACTAGATATCTGTGTGATGTGTAGAGAACAGGTCTTCAATATTTTTTTAAGAATGTAAAGGAGTCCTGACACCAAAAAGTTTGAGACCGTCTCTCACTACTTCCCCTCCTTTGAAAAATGAAGATGTTCTTCTCTCCTAAATTTTTTTGCTTACAACATTGTCTAACTCAGGGGTGAGGGACCTGTGGCCTTGAGGCCACATACAGCCCTCTAGGTCCTCAGATGCAGCCCTTTGACTGACTCCAAACTTCACAAAACAAATTCCCTTGTTCTGTAAAACTTGGACTTAGTCAAAGGGCCGCACTTGAGGACTTAGAGGGCCACATGTGGCCTCGAGGCCACAGGTTCCCCACCCTTGGTCTAAATCTTTTCTTTGCCCCTATTACACTCTATATTGTATCATACATAATCATGTGTGTGCTGTATTTCCATCTGGTAGAGTAGAAACCCCTTGAGAGAAGACACTGTCACATTTCATTGTCATATCCCTAGTGCAAAGCATGAGAATTTAACAGATGTTAACTGTGAATCTGCTCTGCACACTGCTCTGGAGAACAGTTTGGAATGGTCTCTGACAGAGCCACTCAGTAGGGGTTTGACCCTCCTGGCCCCCCCAGTTACTTCGCCCCAGCCTCCCTGACGCTGTCCCATGGACCACGACTCAGCAAAAGCCAAGGAGAAGGCACTGAGTCAGCTCAGTGGAGCAAGGAGAACTTACCACTGTTTCCTCTTTCTGTGGCTACCCTGAAACTTCAATGGGACAAAGTGCTGGAGTGATGCTCTCTGCTTCCTTGTCCCCACAATGTGCCCTAAGCCCTTACTCAGACTAACTCTGGCCTGGGAAACAAGACAGCCAACCCCCTAGCATTGGACTGAGGATGTTTCTGTGGCTCCGCAGGACCAGAATGCTAAGAGCTAGGAAGAGCTCCCTTCTAACATCAGGAAGAAGCCCCTATTTCTCCAAGCACCAAGTAGAATTAACCTCACGACTCACTATGCAACAGGGAGCCTCAGGGAAGCAGCAGAATGGGGAGGGGGCAATCTCTCTGCCCCAAAAGAGGAATAGCAGACGACATATATAGCCAGGCTCTATCTCCTGCTGCCAGATACCAACAGGACCCAACTCCTACTAATCACATTTTAGAGTCAAATTAACTGAGGCCCCTCTAGAAAGGTTAAGGGATTTGCCCAAGGTCACACAAATAGTAAGTCGCAGAGCCGAGATCTGAACCCAAGCTCTTGATTCTAAATCTAATTCTCCTTCCATTATACCAGGCACTGGATTCACAGAGTTTGAGGATGGTGGTTAAAGCTCAGCTAGCGGATGACTTTGAGAAAGCCATATAACCTTTCGGGGGACTTCAGTTTCCTAATCTATAAAACAAGAAGGCTGGATGAGGTAATCTCTAAGGCCAACCTTCTACCTCTAAATCTATGATCTTTCTTCCACTATACCAATATATATCCAATCTTGTGGATGTCAAAGGTCCCTTCTACCTTTAAATTCAATTATTCTATGATGCTCAGTCCAGAGTTCTTTCAACCATAGGGCCTTTGGGGAGCATCAAAGCCACTGCCTCAATGTACCGACAGTCACCGAGCCTCAGAAAGGGCAAGTCTCCCAGGTAGCTAGCAGCAGGTGAAGGAGTCCTAACTCTCACTTTGGTGCTCCTTCCCCCTCTTGCAGGACATCTTTCAATGCCCTCCTCCCTCTCTGGGCCTGCTCCCACATCATGAGTGGAAAACCACCCTTTTAGAGTGAGCATTTCTGCCCTCCCCTCTCCACCTCATCCCAGCTGCCTCTTCAGAAGCCTTTGCTGAGGCAGCTGCCAAGAGAACCGCGGAGACGTGGAGGAAGGTCTGTCTCTGCAGTCCCTAGCCGCCACCCCCCCATCCTCCTGGCCTCCTTCTGCCTCAGCAGGGTTTCCAGAGCTAACGAGGCACAGCTGGATCACAAGTGGCATCCGCCAGGTGATTCAGAGCACCTTCCA